CAGATTAGGCAAAGATTTCTTAGATATGACATCAAAACTACCATCCATAATAGAAAAAAATTTATATATTGAATTTCATCAAAACTAAGTTTGCTCTTGAAGAGACTCCGTTAAGAAAATGAAAACACAGGCAGGTGGATAGCTCAGTCAGAGGAGCATGTGACTCTTGATCTCAGAGTGTAGAGTTCAAGCCCCATCTTGGGCAAGGAGCCTACTTTTAAAAAAAAGAAGAAGAAGAAACCCCAAGCCACAAACTAGGAGAAATTATTTACAAAGCATATATCCAATAAAGGAATTAGATCTGCAACTCAAAAATTAAAGACAGGGGTGCCTGGTGGCTCAGTTCGTTAAGTGTCCAACTCTTGATTTCGGCTCAGGGTTGTGAGATTGAGCCCTGCCTCCCACTCTGTGCTCATCATAAAGTCTCATTGAGATTCTCTCTCCCTCTCTCATTGCCCCTCCCCCACCCCAGCTCTTGAGTGTGCAGGGGCGCACACTCTGTCTCTCTCTAAAAAATAAATAAAAATAATGAGACAACCCCACACACACGCCAAAAAAAGGGGGGGCAAAAGATTTGAATGGACAATTCAACAAAGAAGATATATGAATGTCTAATAAGCACTCAAAAGACTACTCAACATCATTACGTAGTTCGTTGTATGTAAACTATTGTTCAAAAAAACCCTGTAAAATAAAAAACTAATTGGTCACCTTTGGGAATTGTGAGGTTATCAACTTATTATTCTTAAAGATTCGTAGAAAAAGGAAAAGAATCAAACAATATTATCCAGGCTTTTCTAAAGTGAATTGTGCTTGAGGAAAACCAAATAGTCAATAGAAAAAAAAGGGGGGGTGTTTTTTTTCCTTAGAATCACAGTCATAAATGCAGAACGAATAATAGAATTAGAAAATCACTATTGTGTAATCCTTAATAAAATGATAACTCTAGACAAAGAGCATCCATGGCTGCTGAAACCATTAGGTTAAAGGCTGAGGCGGAATTTAATAATGGATGGATTAGGTTGACCACATCTGAAGTCACCAATAAAATTAACATCATGAAATGTGGAACATTATGTACTTTCTCCTGTGATGCAATAGTACATAGTACCACCTAGAATATAATTCTGCAAAAAAAAAAAAAAATTGAATCAATATTATCAAGCTTCTAGAGCATATTGTCAGGAGGGCTCAAAGAGCTTGTTATAGGGTGTCTTGAGGGTGCAATTGGCCAAATTCTGTGGGAAATTCTGCAGATCAACAAATAACTATCATAGAAAGGAGTGGGGAGAAAGGGAATTGGTATACATTAAGAGAAACTTAAGAGAGATGTCGGTCAAATGCAATGGGTGGACTTTGTTTGGATCACGAGTCAAGCAAAGCAACTGCAAAAATACCTTTCAGGGATAAGTGTGGAAATCTGAACACGGACTAGGAATTAGGTGATGCAGGGGCATTATAAATCTTACAAGGTGTAATAATGATACCATGATTATGCTTTTTTTTTTTTTTTAAGATTTTATTTATTTATTTGACAGAGAGAGACAGCGAGAGAGGGAACACAAGCAGGGGGAGTAGGAGAAGGAGAAGCAGGCTTCCCTGCGGAGCAGGGAGCCCAATGTGGGGCTCAATTCCAGGGTCCTGGGATCACGGCCTGAGCAGAAGGCAGACGCTTAACGACTGAGCCACCCAGGCGCCCCTATGCTTTTTTTTTTTTTTAAGTAGTTAGCTGTTGGGTATACATACTGAAGTGTTCACAAGATAAATTAAACCATATCTGGGGTTTCCTTTAAAATATTCCAGTGACCACGGTGCAGGGGTAGGGGGAAATGTTGTGGAAATGCATATGTGAAACAGTGTTGATGAGTCTTGGAAGTAATAATGGATGGATACACGGGGTGGGGGTATATATACTATCTCCCCTACTCTGGGATATATCTTCCAGAATAAAGAACAGGGGTTTGGGGGCACCTGGGTGGCTCAGTCGTTAAGCGTCTGCCTTCGGCTCAGGTCATGATCCCGGGGTCCTGGGATCGAGCCCCGCGTCGGGCTCCCTGCTCAGCGGGAAGCCTGCTTCTCCCTCTCCCACTCCCCCTGCTTGTGTTCCCTCTCTCACTGTGTCTCTCTCTGTCAAATAAATAAATAAAATCTTAAAAAAAAAAATTAAAAAAGAACAGGGGTTTTGTTCTGTTGAATTTTAAATAGGTTGTATCCATACAGTTCCCAGCTCTCAGGCTGAGTTCTGACTTACTGAAAGTTCAACAGGAGTATTTCCTCCCTGATCCACATGGAGACCACATGTTCAGTGTCTGCGGGGCGCACAGGAGAGAAATGAGTCAGAGGTTAAGAAAACAGCAAGCAAGCAGGTAAAAGGAATGGTAGTTGGCACCTACCCCTGTGCTGTGGATTCATGGAGAATGGAGGGACCCTAGAGAATCGAAGATCACATGGCCAATCCAAAGGGGGCAGCTAATGTTGCTATGTGGGAATAGGAGCCCCAGATGGCCAACATCTCTGATTTTTCATTAAAAAGTTGAAATCTGGACATTTCAGTAAAATCTCCCAAGATGTAGGCAAATGATTAAAAATGTTTTGAACACTGGGCCGGTCAGCGCTAGAAAGTCAAACAAAACCTGTCAGGAAGCTAGATTTGTTCCACAGACTGCTGTTCTGTGATCTCTGACACCACACCATGTAATGCATTATACAGTGCCATGAGGCATTAATAATTGTTGACATTTTTACCATTTCGGTCACACACTGGGACAAGTGGGGTTGCATACATCTGAAACCCCCAGATCCTTTACATGCAAATGGCTGTCGAGCCAGGCATCCCCCACACTGAACTCTGAACTGAACACAGGCGCACGATTATCTCTGTCGAATTGCATATTGTCATTTGTCAGAAACATTTGTCTCTGGCTTGTCTCTACTTGTCCTCCAAATTCTATTGAATTTGCACTCCCGTCCAGCTTTGTATCATGCACAATAAGCCTGTCTTCATCCAAAGTAATTACAAAGCTAATGTCAGCCTGGGTTATGTCAGGCTTCTCTCCTGCTAGAGATCTCCAACTGTTCACCTATAACTTCACCCTCCCTTCCAAGTTCATCCACCTCGTATTTACACATCTGCCTCCTTAAAGCCACCCTACATCATACACAGGCCTAGCCCACCAATCATGGTGTTAATAATGCCCTTTCCTCCTGTCTGCGTAGTACTGTTTGGTTTTTAAAGCATTTTCCCATAATATCCTGAGTTGATCTTTGTCACCTCTCAAAGTCTTTAAAAAGCCAATCAATGTCACATTAAGATGTTGGACTACAAATCTGCCCATAGTCTATTTGTTCGTGTCTAACCCACTACTAATTTCCCTGCAGGGGATTTCTAGAGTAAATAGAGAAAGGGCAACTCATTTCACTTCCTTCCCTCCCACCTCACCATTTAACCAGAAAAATAGTCCCCTAAACCACCACCACTCCAGCAATACCCAACAGGGACAGAAACAATATTTAAGACAAAGTTCTAGCCTTGAGAGTTGACAGGAAGTGGAATGGGTTGCCTTGTGAAGAAAACACAATCTGATGCAAGAAATCTTCAAATAGGAGCTGGGGTTTTGTAGAAGGGATTCCGACATGGAGGCGAAGTTGGGCAGAATGATCTTACCTTCATTTATTTCTGTCCATGTGGGGAATCTGCTCTGTGCTCAGCTCTCAGAAGTTTCTGACCAGTTCTTGCAGTGAGTACTCTCAGACAGAAACATTCGCTTGGCAAGTCTGATCATTTTTATGCTTTGTGTATTTTAAAATTAGTTCCCTTTTAAAAAATAGTTTTGGGGGGCACCTGGGTGAGTTGGTCCGTTAAGCAACTGCCTTTGGCTCAGGTCATGATCCCAGGGTCCTGCTTCACGGGGAGCCTGCTTCTCCCTCTCCCTTTGCCTCTCCCCCTGCTTGTGCTCTCTCTCGCTATCTCTGTCACTATCTGTCTCTCTTTATCAAATAAATAAATAAAATCTTTAACAAAAAGTTTTTGGCAAATTTTTTTTTAAATGCCAACCTTTCCACCATTGTTCAAAAATGAAGATCCATACAATGGAATATTAATCAGCCATAAAAAGAAATCAGGTAATGATACAGGGTAGGACATCGGTGAATCTTGAAAGCATTAAGGGAAAGAAGCCAGTCACAAAAGACCACAGGTCCTATGATTGCGTTCATATGAAAGTCCCCAGTAGGGGAATGTATAGAGACTGAAAGTAGATTAGTGGTTGCCTAGGGCCGAACTGGGGAGCTAGGGTGGGGACAGCTAGAGGATATGGGGTTGCTTACTGAGGTGCTGAAAATGTTCTAAAATCGAAGGTAGTGATGGTTAACACACTTCGGTGAATATACTAAAATCCATTGAATTGTATACTTTAAAATGATATGTGAATTATTTCTTAAAACTGTTTTTTTAACTTAAGCGAACTTTATTATTATTATTATTAATGGATAGATACTTGTCTCCAGGCCTGAGCTAGATTTCTCACCATCTGCTGAGGATGAGCCTGTGAGCAAAAGGCTCTGGCTGGGGGAGGGCCTGGCCTCGGGTTAGGTGAGGAGGGCAGACGTTCTCGCATTTCACTGGGCATGAGGCTCTCCATCCTCGATCTGGGGCTAGGGTTAGTAGCCGAGGAGACAGACCAGAGCTCCAGCCTCCACCCACTTTCTCTGAGCCTTCTCGATCTTACTTCTCAGCGCTCCAGGTCGTCTTTCCATCCCAGGATTTTACTACCATCCTGTCCATAAAACAGGAGAAACCACTCTTTGGGGAGAACGCGTTTGGGACGACTGTCACCCCACTAAACTTGTTCCCTGCTCCGCCCACACCTCCTGGGAATGTGGGGCACACATCCACCCCATGGCAAAGCAGCCCCCACGCTTCCGAGAAGTGTTCCGGTGCTGGCTGCAAAAACAGATTGCCTGTCTCTCCGCCGCCCCGCCCCCCCCCCCCCCCCCCCCCGAGGACTTCTGAACCTAGCATTTGTGGCATGCAGGAAAGGACAGCCGCCACTCGAACATCACTAGAAGGCGTCTGCTCTCAGGTCCGCCGGCGAATTGCACCACCGCAGACTGACACCGGCGAGAGGAGGCGCAGAATGGGGAGAGGGGAAACGCCCAGCGCACATTTCCCAAACTCTGCACGTCGGCCCAGGGAGGCCTGTGTGCCTGGGGAGGGGAGAAGGGCCCGCGGTCTCGGGGTGTCCGCAGTTCGGAGGGAGGGGAGCAGCAGCTCCACTTTCGCCCTGCGCTGAGCCCCTGGCCCCAACTCCCGGGAGTGCTCCCCGGCTCGCGACCCGCCACCCACAGAGCGCCGCGCCACGCCCCACCCAGCCGTGGGCTAGGGGCCGTGGACGGGGAGCCGGACCTCGTCCCGGCGCCGGGAGCTGGGGCACGCCCGGTCGATTTTCGACCTCGATGCCCAGTGCGGCGCCCCGGGATCTCCCTTCCTTACAGCCGGTACTGTGGCCGGGGACTAGATGCCGTTAAAGGAAAGGCCTGGGAAGAGAAGTAGGAGGAAGCAGTATGCAGAGGTCCAGATTCGAGTGGCTGGACGGTGCGCGGGGGCAACAAGTAGCTCGCACTGCAGCTAAGAAGCTCCAGCGCGAGCGGCAGCCTGCCTGCGGCGCAGCGACAAGCGCACACAGGCAGTCAGCGACGGCAACTGAGGACGCTAAAGAGAGACTAACTCGCTCCTCTGGGTAAGGAGATAAAAGGGGGCTGCGGATGTCCAAAAGGGTCGTGCTCCAGGTGAGGCTCGAACTCACAACCTCGGCATTGCTCTGCATGTACTGCTGTATAAGTACCGCGCGCTAACCGATTGCGCCACTGGAGCTCCGCTTAGCCGGCCTCGCGATGGCTCTATCAGGGTTCACCCAGGCCCGGTGCGGGCTTCCGCGGAGCATGCGCACTCGCGGCTCGGGGCTCGGCGGGACCGGGTCCGGGCCCCGAGTCGCCTGCAGCTGCGGTTCTCGCGGCTCCCGGCGGAGTGAGCGGGGAGTCCTGCGAGGGTCTCCCCCGGGGATGGAGGGCCGGCTGGCAGGGCCGCCACGGGCAGGCCACTGGGGCGTTGAAAAGGGTGCAGCCCGCCTCGCCGAGCAGCGCGGGAGGAGGAGCCTCGGCCGCCGCGTTCGGCGTCCTACCGGGAGCTTCGCCTTCGGGAGCGGGCCCCGCGAGGAGCCGGGCGGGCGGCGGGCCTCGGTGCGGTGGTGACGCGTGTCGAGGGGTGGGGCCGAGCGGGGCGGCCTCGGCTCACCGGCCGCGCTTCGCCGGCGGCCGCCCCCTGCCCGCGCCCCGCGTGACCAGCGAGCGACAGGCCCCGGCCTGGACTCCCCGCGCCGCCCTGGAAGTCAGCGGAGCCGTCCGGCGGGGCAGCCAGGCGGCGCCCGGGCCGGGGGTGGACCGAGGGCGGCCTCCGCCGGCGGGGCCTCCGGAACCGGACAGGGCGGGGGCTTCAGCATCAGAGCCTGGTCGGCCCCGGAGGTTTCCCTCGGCCCCTCGTCCATCCTGAGCGCAGGCACAAGGCGTGTCCCCGAAGTGGTGTCAAGCCACGGGCATTGCGGGGACATGACGATAGCCCGAACCTTCCAGAGAGTGCCTGCTAAGCCCCGCGTGTTTTGTTGGGCCACAACGTATTTGTTTGGTTTAATTGTAAAACTAGTTCCTAGTATTTAAAATCAAGAGGTCTCATACAAATATCTGGATATCCATTTCTTTTTTTTCTTTTTTTTTTTCTTTTTTAACCAGACAAGGTCACACTGTACCTAGGGCCAAATTATAACTGTCCGGTGCCCTAGGCACTTTTGTCTTCGTGGACCCTTTCCTCCATTAAAAAAAAAAAAAAAAAAACTAATGGTATTTTATTCCTGCAAATAAAGACAAATACAATCCAGGCAGGATTTATTGTTACAACATGATTATTGTATTTCTTTTTTCTTCTGATTTCAAAAGAATTTAAAACGTGAACATTTTTGCGGGCTCTAGGTACTGTGGCTACTGTACCGAGTTGGTAACTCCGCCGGGAACCTGCATTCCGCGCCGGCCCCGCCGAACCTGCACCCTGCCCTGGGAGCTTAGCGAAGCCACCTCCACAGAGTACGCACCACCTCCCAGCGTCTTTCTCCAGGTTGCCTCTCGATTGTCTCCTGGGCCTCTGTGGGGATGTCGGTCACGCTGTTTGGTTGACCAGAGCCGGGAGAGCAAACAACAGAACCCTATGATAATAGATTGAGGGAACTAGTATGAGCAAGTGATGGGAGGCAGAAGAAAGATCCTGTATGTAGTCACTTTGTTGGTGACTGCCCAAGGTAACAGGTTGTGTTAGGGTGACGGTGTCAAGCAGTAGGACTGTGAAAAGCCTTGAAATGCAAGCGGAACTGATGAGACTGATCAGGCAGACAATAGCAGTAAGGCAGGGGCCTCCTGAAGATGGTGTTTTTAGGAAGCTCGGGCCCGTGCCTACTGGGTGGGTTATCTGCCCAGAGAAAAGAGGTAAGTGAGACTCTCCAGGTAGTTTCGAACTGTAAGAGACCTAAGTCCAGAGCAGATCCCATCAGGCACCAGGCAGTGGTGGGATGCAGAGTTGTTTGGAACACGCCAGGATTAGGGCTCCTTGGAGCATGCCTGGCCAAGTCCAGAATGCTTTGAGGGCTGCAGAGAGTGAGACTTTGAAATAAATGAGTTGGAACAGGCTATTAACGTAACCACATGGTTTCTCTGAGGTGGGAATACTTTTTCAAATTTTTAAATTTCATGTTTATTTTTAAAGGTTTAACTTTTCTTTAAGATCTAACTTTTAAGTAATCTCTACACCCAATGTAGGGCTCGAACTCACAACCCCGAGATCAAGACTTGCATGCTGCACCTACGGAGCCAGCCAGGTGCCCCAAATTTTTAAATTTTAAATTGGAAAGGGTTAATTTCCTGATGAACAAGAAAGTAAGTCGTGGACCTATACATAGTGTCTTCTCAAATCCAGTAGCATCTCCAGAGTCTGCTCTTCCTCCCTCCAAGTTCCTCAGGTAGAACACACCTGGTGAACCACGAGCAGCAAGGTTGGCCCCTGGTGGTCCACTTCCCTCTCGCTTCTCCCATCCTGGATTTACTCTTTCATTGGTTCAGCAGATATTAACTGATCCTGGTTGCATGAGAGGGGAAGGCAGCCTCATACAGACTTTGGGAACTAAAATAGCTTAGTCCCCAAAGAAAGTGGGGCTCTAAAGGAAGGACCTAGTAAAGGCAATGCTGAACCTGGAGGGGGACAGTGTCAGAACCTCTGCTACCAGAGAGATTTTTTCCAGCAAGAAGTCTCCTAAGACCTTCAAATCACTTAAACTCATATGGACTGACTCTGAAGAGCCATGAATTAAAGAGTCTGAGCTGTGACCCTCCCTGGTTGTGTGACCTTAAGTCAATCTCTTACCCTCTCTGGACCTCAACTTCTTCATCTATAATCTGAGGGATCTAGACCAAATAAGAGCTTTCTAGCCTATCTTGACTGGAAAACTCTTTTTATCATGTATATACTTGCCAACACCTTGAGATTATTAAATCATGTAATAATTTTTATGATGTGTTATAATTAGTTATTTTAAAAATAGTTATTTTAGGGGCGCCTGGGTGGCTCAGTCGTTAAGCGTCTACCTTTGGCTCAGGTCATGATCTCAGGGTCCTGGGATTGAGCCCCCCATCAGGCTCCCTACTCGGGGGGAAGCCTGCTTCTCCCTCTCCCACTCCCCCTGCTTGTGTTCCCTCTCTCGCTGTATCTCTCTCTGTCAAATAAATAAATAAAATCTTAAAAAAAAAAAAGTGTATGAAATTTAATGACTCATTATAGCATCAAAAATGAACAAAAACTGCTTTTCTAAATGAATGTTTGGGATTTGTGGGTTTTGCACTTTAAAAAAACTGGTTTATTTTTATTACTCTCATGTTTAAATGTTAAAATGGCATGTTTTTGTGTCTCATGTTTTTGTGTCCAAACGATGAGATAAAACAGAAGGGTTCAGGCTGCTATATGCAAGCATCATTCTGCAAATAATATTTAGTGGGTCTGGCTCATGTTTATTCCTAATAATGAAAGGCTATATTGGATAGAACGGTCGCTCTTTTTTCTCTTTTTTGGCTTTGGTTTCTGACATAGAAGAGATATCAGGATGAGCCAGATAAACATTTTGATCAGCTGAATGCAATTTGCACGTCTATTGAATGAAGATCATCTTGAGTCATATTGTGGAATTTTCATGTTATGGTCTTCATTTGCTTTATTTCAGCAAACTTTTCACATTTTACATTTTTAGCCAGCATTCCATTGTGAGCATATATTAAGCAGTTTAGGACTAAAAAGAGTTGCCATCGAGTAGTCAAAACCCACATAGGACCCACTGGAGTGGCTGAGTCATATGCACATATCTGGGGGCTGCTGCAGGTGTGGGGAAATGCATTGGGAGGCTCCCAGAGGGATCCCATTTTCATGCGGCAAGAGGTTGTCTGAAGAATTCCTTTCATTACTTTTTTTCAGACTAGAAGTTTAAAAGATGTCACTGCCACCAATAACAGTGCGGAACACTTTGAATGCCCTTCAGAGCCCCTGGCACCAGGCAGCATCTGAGATCCCCTCCTATGCTGATTAGCCCACAATCCTCTCTGGCACCACGTGGGCAAAAGACCCTTTATTTTCCCTGAGGAGGAGAAAGATGTGTGGCTCCCAAGGCCCAACCTCCAGGGAAGTGTGAAGCAGACTGAACTGATTATACTCAGGAGTGGAGCAGGATAATTTGGGGAAACACAGAGCCCTTCACTCTGGATTGACGCTGAACTGAAGATCTGATAAGAGCCCATCAGATGAGAAGAAACTTAAAAGATTGCTAACACCCAACGCTGGTAAGAGTGTGGGAAACGGACACTGTTGTTTTTTGTTTTTAAGACAGGTCAGCAGAATCTCTCCAATGCATATATCCTTTGACCCAGCAGTTCTGCCTCTAGGAATCTGTCCTTTAGAGACACTCATTCATGGGAACAAATATACCATATTTCACCAACTCTAAGATGCCCTAAACTGGGAAATATACCATTATTTTATGTACCAGTAAGAGAGAAAAAAGTGCTGCCATTTTAACTGTGATGCTGTGCTTTCATACCACTTTGACTTTTTATTATAAACTTATTTAAGAAGCTCCCTTAGGGATCCCTGTGTGGCTCAGTTGGTTAAGTGTCTGCCTTTAGCTCAGGTCATGATCCCAGGTCCTGCATCGGGCTCCTTGCTCAGTGGGGAGTCTGCCCTTCCCTCTGCCTGCCGCTCCCCCCCGCTTGTGCTTTCTCTCTCTCTGTCAGGTAAATAAATAAAATCTTTTTTTTTTTTTTTAAGCGCTCTTTTAGACAGACTCAGACGTACCTTTTTTTTAAAATCATATATTACTCTTGCCAGAGACACGCTTTCCTCATCCCCCGAGCAACAGCTTAGCCAATGAGAAGCCACCACACTTGGAACTCCCAGTTTATTCCAATGGACTTTTAGTTTATAACAGCCTTCCCAACTTACTCCTTTTCTCGTTAAAAGAGTGTACCTCTCCATAGTTCCCCAGACTTGCCTACGGTTTTGTCCCAGCTTGTTTGTCCCAGATTGCTATTCTCTTTTATTCCCGAATAAACCCATCTTTTGCTGGTAAAATAAACTGGCAATTTTTATTTGTAAGGTTAACAACACATGGTTTAGCTATTCTATTAATGGACATCTTGGATGATTTCCTGCTTGGAGCTTTTTTTTTTTTTATTTTAAAGATTTTATTTATTCATCTGACAGAGAGAGACACAGCAGGAGAAGGAACACAAGCTGAGGAGTGGGAAAGGGAGAAGCAGGCTTCCCGCGGAGCAGGGAGCCCCACGGGCTCCATGCGGGGCTCCATGCGGGGCTCCATGCGGGGCTTGATCCCAGGACCCTGGGATCATGACCCAAGCCAAAGGCAGACACTTAACCCACTAAACCACTCAGGCACCCCTGCTTGGAGCTTTCATAAATAAAGTTGCCAAGAGCATTCTTGTGCACAGCTTCTCATTTTCATTCCTTTTGGGTAAATACAGGAGTGAAATTGCTAGATCATAAGGTAGGATTATGTATAGTTTTTGTAAAAACATTCTTTTAACTTTTTAAAAAAGATTTTATTTATTCATTTGACACAGAGAGAGAGTGAGCACAAGCAGGGGGAGCAGCAGAGGGAGAGGAAGAAGCAGACTCCCTGCTGATCAGGGAGCTCAATCCCAGGACCCTGGGATCATGACCTGAGCGGAAGGCAGATACTTAACCAACTGAGCCACCCAGGTGACCCGTAAAAGCATTTTTTTATTGCAAAACTTATAAACATAAAAATTTGCCATTTTAGCCATTTTTAAGTGCACAATTCAGTGGCATTAAGCACATTTACATTGTTATGCAACCATCACCACCATCCATCTCCATCTGCCCCTTTCTTAATTTGATTTTTTGTTTTGCTGTTGAGCTTTAGGAGTTCTTTATATATTCTGGATATTAATCCCTTACTAGATATATGATTTGCAAATATTTTCTCCCATTTTGTGGGTTGCTTTTCAGTCTCTTGATAGTGACCTTTGATGTGCAAAAGTTTTTAACTTTGATGGAGTTCAATATTTTATAAGAGACTGCCAGACCCTTATTTCCAAAGTAGTTGTGCCATTTTACACTCTCACCAGCGATGTTGAGCATTTCAATTGCTCTACATCCTTGTCAATGCTTGATATTGTCAGTTTTTAACTGTATTCATTCTACTAGGTATGTAATAGTATCTCCTTGTAGATTTAATTTGTATATCCTTGATGACTAATGGTGTTGAGCATTTTTGTTGTACCTATTGGCTATTTGTATATCTTGGTGAAATGTTTGTTCACATCTTTCACCCATTATTTTGTTGGCTTTTTTGGAGGGGGTGGTTTGGGTCTTTTCTATTAAGTTGTAGGAGTGACTGATATTTCTCAGGTTCTTCATCTGCAGGTAGCAGGTATGAATTCCTCCAGGACACATGGGCTCCAAGAAATACCTAGGTTGGCCACTGTCCACAGTGCCCTGGATTCATAAGAGCCCCACTCTCATCCAAAGCATGTAGGTTCCATGCCAGGAAAAATTAAGGGAATGCCACAGGATGTTGGGGGGGGTGGAGGGGTGGGGTGGTGGGGAGTGTCTACCAGTGATTTGAAGGGAGGGAGCATTCAGTGGCTCCTGGCAAAGATAAGCTGTAGAATATCTCCATGGGAGGGAGGAGGGAGGAAAGAGTAGAGGAGAGCCCACTGGCCCTGGAGCCAGAGAAAATGGAAATGGAGCAGACATACAAGCTAAACTGAAAGCAGAGCTAGCCTATGAATGTCTCCCCAAGGACCTTCCACCTGTGAGGTGACAGGGAGACATAAACTTCCTGTTCTATTTACAGAGCCCTGGGAAACAAACAGTGACCACAGTGCAGATGAAGGACGTTCTCCTAACCTGCCCTGCCCTGTCTAGTAGGGTCTCAGCTGAGGTCACAGACTGCTCCATCCCAGGGCCAACAGCCAACTGTGATCACATTAGAGAGGCAATATACTGGAGGGCCAACCACTTTTATTATTTGATGCCCTGATCTTAGGACCTAACCCTCCCTGAGTTGCAAATCACAACTATAAACAAAAAAAATTTTTTAAGAGAGAGAGGGAGGAGGTGGGGAGGGGCAGAGGGAGAGGGAGAGAGAGAATCTTAAGCAGGCTCCACGCAGTGCAGAGCCCATGGGGGGGGCGGGGGGGGCCTCGATCTCATGACCCTGCGATCATGGCCTGGGCCGAAATCAAGAGTTGGACACCTAACCAACTGAGCCATCCAGGCGCCCCAACAAATCTTTTATTTTATTTTTTTTAAGATTTTATTTATTTTTTGACAGAGAGAGAGAGACAGTGAGAGAGGGAACACAAGCAGGGGGAGTGGGAGAGGGAGAAGCAGGCTTCCCACTGAGCAGGGATCATGACCTGAGCCAAAAGCAGACGCTTAACAACTGAGCCCCCCAGGCGCCCCGAGGCAGAACTCTTTAAGAGGAAACACTGTAAGGGACGTCTGAGTAGCTCAGTTGATTAAGCGTCTGCCTTCGGCTCAGGTCATGATCTCAGGGTCCTGGGATCGGGTCCAGCATCCAGCTCCCTGCTCAGCGGGGAGTCTGCTTCTCCCTCGGCCTCTCCCTCCCCCCTGCTCATGCTCTCTCAGAAAAATAAAAAGAAATAAAGAAACATTGTATACAGTGGGGGAAAAGCCTTATATTCCATATTCCAGTGATTCTACTTACCAGCTGTGCACCTTGGGGGGCGCTAGTTAATACTCTCAGCTTCAGTGTCAATTTTCTAACCTGTAAATGGAGAAGCAGCTACCTGATGAAGGAGACAAGGTCCTGTGTCAACTTCTGTCAAATCAGATCCCCAAATCTAAGGGGCAGAGCCTCCTCCCTTGCTGCGCCTCATAGGAATGAGGAGTGAATGATCACTGTGTTAAACCACTGAGTTTGGGGTGGGCTTTTCCTGTTACAGCAGCTAATATTACCTTCACTGACACAGAGTTCACACTTTACAACAGTTTCCTCGAAGAAATAAGGGTGAGTATCACGTCCCTGAAATGAAGACGGCCAGTTGTAGGAGGATACCAATTAAAGTCTTTGTAAATAAAAATACGAAACCATTGAAATTTAAAACCCAGTAGATGGGCTGAACCATAGAATACTTTAAATAGAAAAACAATAAGCTGAAAGATTAGGCAGAAGAATATTCCCAGAATGCAGGACAAAGGGAGATGGGAAAAAGAAAGGAAAGTTCAATGACATGCAGATAAGATCTAAAAATTCTAGCATTCATCAAAAAAAATTTTAGAAGATGATAATAGAGAGAATAGACAAGAAACAATTTTTTTAAGTTTTTTTATTGTATTTTTTTTAAAGATTTTATTTATTTATTTGACAGAGAGAGACACAGCGAGAGAGGGAACACAAGCAGAGGGAGTGGGAGAGGGAGAAGCAGGCTTCCCGCCGAGCAGGAAGCCTGATGTGGGGCTCGATCCCAGGACTCTGGGATCATGACCTGAGCCGAAGGCAGACGCCTAACGACTGGGCCACCCAGCCGCCCCTTATTGTATTTTTTTAAGATTTTATTTATTTATTTGACAGAGAGACGGTGAGAGAGGGAACACAAGCAGGGGGGAATGGGAGAGGGAGAAGCAGGCTTCCCGCCGAGCAGGGAGCCCAATGTGGGTGGTGTTCGATCCCAGGACCTGAGCCGAAGGCAGATGCTTAACGACTGAGCCACCCAGGCACCCTGAGAAACAATTTTTTTATAAAAGCCAAGAATTTCCCAGATCTGAAGAAAGACACCACACACACACACACACACACACACACGAACACACAAAGAATAATTCCCAAAAAATATATGGAATATAAGAAGTAATTGCAAGTTAATACATTAGGGAAACATACGAAGACATCTAAGTATGGCCTGTATAAAATTTTTAAATAATAATCTAAACAAAATCAACATGGAAGTTGCCAGTAGGGAATTCCAGAAGAAAGTTAAAGCTTGCCCAGATTCCTTTGTTCTTGCCTTAGGTTCTAGGGGTGGATACAGATGCTGTTTAACAATACACATTATTAGAAATCTACAAATTTAAATAAATGCATGTATTTAAAGAATAACCCCTAAATACGTGGGAATAGAACATAGAGGAGAAATGGATCAAAGAAAATGTAATCAAAAGCCAGGTGTAATGGACATGGCTAGCTACCTCCCAAGCATCATTTCCTACATCCCAGTCATGAGCCAGAATTTTGTGTAAGGATCTGGCCACAGACTTCAGGGGAAACCGACTCCAC